AGGTGAACCAACATCCAAACGTTTTTTTCTGTATCTGCTAAAGCTAAATCATTAATTAATGTGTTTAGTAAATCAACTGACAGAGCAAATACCATCATGTTGTACCAAAAGTAAGATAATATCAAAAAGAATAAACAAGCAGATCAGATATAAACATGACTGATGTGGCTCACCCAAAAAGATGGACAAAATGGACGGAAACTGAACAAGAACAGTAGAAGGGGGAAGGGATACCTGATTTGCTTCCATGAGGAGGCGCTTCTTCTCTTCCTCAGCATCCCTCAGCATTGAATTGACGTTTGTGACCTCCTTATTCAAGCTATCACACTTATCCTCCAACTGAAACAAGGATTTGATATACACCAATCTTCTCACTGACAATGGTGGATGAATTAACAGTATGCAGCTTTAAAGTTAAGCCCTTTCTACATTCTAATATATTCCTATCTCTCAATTATCTGAGTACTAAGTACACAGACTATCTTTTATCAAATTTTGAATTCCATTTTAATTCTGGAGACTGACAGCATGATTTGCATAATTCATCTAATCATGTCCTGGTCAATTTGGAATATGAAATTCTTACCTTATCCATGCTGTATCTCATATTTATCTTGCTAGTAACAAGCTCATGTGCTAGATCATCATTTTCACGCTCAAGCCTCATGTTATCTTCCAGCAGACGGCGATTCTCGCGCTCCAGGCGGACTACAGGGTCCTCTTGCATGGCCTCTTGTTCTGGGTTTGGGGATAGAAGGTTGATATTACACTCAGATATATGTCACTGGAGTCCAATACCTACAAATCAACCTGATATTACATATAGCTCATGTGTATGGAAATAATCCTCTTTTGCAAAGTCTACAAATACCCAAGAAAAACTACAGTGTGTGAAATCTGACATACTTAAAAAGGACACCAGTGTTATATAAACTTATTAACTCAAAGATACACATAACAAATAGTCACAGAGCTTCTACCACACCTCTGTTCTGCTGGAAGGGATTTCCTCAAAACTACAACTATGACGATCCAAACAACCCTTTATTTACCAGTAGTCTATGCTTTCTCCTACCCACTACTCCCACCTCCTACTTGCACCTTTTGTAAAGTTAACCCTCCTCTCCTGGACGACGTTTCAGAGACCCCTCCTCTTCCTCCTCCTCACCCTGTCCACGATTAAAAACACAAATCCTCAGCTGCAACTCTCCTTCACAGAGAACCTACTGTTTCTTTTCCATCTTAATCTGTCCATGCAAGTGTCTCAACTGTGTGTATGATGGATGAGGCCCCAGTGTCAACTGCACTCATGAAACCTCTCTCATTATCTCTACTTATCAAAGCACAAGGCATGAGTTGCCAAGTATTGTGTGCTTGTTTACTTTCCTATGATCTGCAATTGCCATGATTATCATTCTTTTAATATGTTATTGCAAAAATCCAAAAGATGGAATGCACTCATTACATTAATCAAATGCACTACCCATATAAAAAAACATGCAGGAAAATGTACAAAAGTATGGCAATCACAGTTTTACATGCAAGCTCCTGCCAATCTTTTTATCTTATTCACACACTAACACTAGACAGTGCGGTATATTGAATGAGAGGGGGGGGGGGGCACAGGGAGGATATAAAAGGCAAGGGAGGAAGGAAAAGCTAGAAAAATAAAAGGAGAAGGGAAGGGGGTAAGGAAAAGGAGAATTATAATAGAAGGAAGAAAGAGGAATGGGAAGGAATGCAAGTGAGTGCAAAATAAAGGGAGGAGAGATGGAAGGGGAAGGAGAAGGAAAAGAGAAAAGAGTAGAACAAAGGAATGCTGAAGAGAGAGGAGGGAGGGAAGGGTGGTAGGGATGATAATAGAGAAAGGGAAAAGAGAGAGAGAGAGAGAGAGAGAGAGAGAGAGAGAGAGAGAGAGAGAGAGAGAGAGAGAGAGAGAGAGAGAGAGAGAGAGAGAGAGAGAGGGAGGGAGGGGGGGGAGAGAGAGAGAGAGAGAGAGAGAGAGAGAGAGAGAGAGAGAGAGAGAGAGAGAGAGAGAGAGAGAGAGAGAGAGAGAGAGAGAGAGAGAGAGAGAGAGGGAGAGAGAGGGAGAGAGAGGGAGAGAGAGGGAGAGAGAGGGAGAGAGAGGGAGAGAGAGGGAGAGAGAGGGAGAGAGAGGGAGAGAGAGGGAGAGGGAGGGAGAGAGAGGGAGAGGGAGAGAGAGAGGGAGGGAGAGGGAGAGGGAGGGAGAGAGAGGGAGAGAGAGAGAGGGAGAGAGAGAGAGAGAGAGAGAGAGAGAGAGAGAGAGAGAGAGAGAGAGAGAGAGAGAGAGAGAGAGAGAGAGAGAGAGAGAGAGAGAGAGAGAGAGAGAGAGAAATGAGAGAAAACGAAGGAGTGGAGGCGCATGTACAATGTGATGAAATAAAATGAAAATGAGAGATAAAAACAAAGGAAAGAAGAAAGCATCTTCCTTTGTCATTAGTAGAAGAAGACAAAGATGGAGAAGAAGAAGAAGAAGAAGAAGAAGAAGAAAAAGAAGGAGAAGAAGAGAAGGAAACAGGAGAAGAAAAAGAACAAGAAAAAGAAGGCAAAACACCTACTTTAACTCAACTCTCTACACGAAGACAAGTCGTCTCCGCCTCATCACAGAACATACCTTTCATGGCCAAGTATTCCTTCTCATATTTCTTCAGCTTCTTCACCTTGATCGACGTGGCCAACTTGAACAGCTGACGGGCAGTGTCCTCGTTGCGGTACTTCTTGGGCAGAGACACTCGGAAGTACTTGAGAATGCCCTCAAAGTCCGACGAGAGCAGTTCTTTCTTGGACATCTGTTTGAGGGATTTGGCAACGGCATTATGGGTGGATAAGGACGAACTTGTAAAATCAATCATTATTTCTCACTGGGAAACCAAACTAAATATTTTTTATATATGCAATACTACTCACACTTTTAAATAAATTGTCATATTCTGAAGATTTATTCAACTGAATCAAATACTGATACCAAACTAGGGCTGAAGTTCTTACACCCATTAATGACATTTATGTGTCATCATCACATTGCAAAAAAATCCCAAACATGATGCCATATCACATTCTGAGTCAGATTAGGTATCATGTAAAAGCCAGTTAAATAATCATTACAATTACTTTAATGTACAACTTAGGCATTACATACCTGCAACAAAGCCAGAGCCACTTGGAACACAGAGTCAATGCCTGTGAGCAAGAAGAGGTCCAGGTAATGGAACACCATGAAGAGAGGGAACTTGGCTGTGTATAGTGTAAGGAACCACTGACTAGCAAACATGTGAATCTCAACACCCTGCTCCTGGAAGTGCTGCCACACATCTGGGAGTTGTTCCTGAGGCGAAGTACAAGATGTGGGTTAGTATCATTAACCACTATTCACCTATAACAAAATGCTATCACAATGATGTGAACATAATCAAATATCTGGAGATTTATTTCAACAACAATGTAATTAGTATCTTATTTCCATCTGTCACATCTTTTTTACTAAAAAGTGAAAATGGGGAAAAAAAGAGATCCAGCTACTTACTTCCATCAACTTCCCAAGCTGATAAAAACGCATATGAAGAATCTCAAATCCATCTTTAAAGAGGTCACGTAGCCCATACTCAAACATAATTTTGCCAAGGACACAGAAGGTTTGTTCCTCAGGCATCTGGAAAAAAAATACCATGCCTTAGGAATCTTTGGAAAATGAAGGGAGACTGTTTCACAGTGAAGGATGGGGGAAGGGGTAAATGTAATCTCTAAACGTAGACCCTAACTCACAGGCAGTATTGAGTTATATCCAAGAAAATATATGGAATATTATGATTTACTCACCCAAAGTAAATACACATGCTATGCCCACCACCATCATTTGGTACAAATATAACCAGCATCATGGAGGTGTTACAACAGGCACATATAGTAATAATTGTTTTTAACTGCTTCCTTCATAAAGCATAAATTTACTTTTCAGTACTGCATTAAACTTTGTTGAAAAAACTCATAAGAGAGCCACTGCCCCATTTGCATATCCCCAAAATGCTGTTGACTTTTTATTTGTTCCCAACTATACATATGGTCTGGTAAACATGTTTTAGGGATATAATACCTTAAACTCAAGGATTTATAGCAGCATCAACCACTGCCAGGTGAACATACATATACACACATACAATACAATAAGTAAATGAGAGCCCTGCAAACAATCTTATATCACAGTCTATCATAACCTGATGAAAACTTACATGGAGAAGCAGTGCTGCTGCCAGGAAAGACAGCCCCTGGCAGTATCCCACCTCCTCGTCATACACAGCATAAGCTTTACTGATTTTGTAAAGCGAGTCCTGGCCTACTCCACCAGCCTCCTTGAAGTAGTCGTGGGCTGGGAAAGTGCGGTTGATGTCTCGGAGAATCACCTGTTCACTGGGACAGTCCTGAAATGTAAAAGTTCTTGGTAGAAAATTAGAATGTAAGACAAAACTGCTAACAAAAATTTAAGTGATAAGTATTTCATGTCCATAAATATTATTAATGTAAAGATCCTAGATTATTATAAGGAGAAAGAATTTAAAGGCAATGTCAGCCTCTCCCACATTTTTTTTTTTTTTAGGCAGTTTTGCAGTAAGGTAATTTCCATCAATGACATCTGTATGCAATCATAAACTAGTGGGAGCAACATAGACATGGTAAAAGGAACACAAATTCTTCATTATACTGAAAGTGATATTAGAACTATGGCTATAGCTCAAGTACTGTGAAGGTGCAAACACCTATGAAATTATGGTAATGTTTGTGATGGTACTTGCATACACATACCTACATATAAATGCATTATATACATTGAGAAGGTATATCAACTATAACCACAAGTGTGCATATAACACAAGTGTGCATATAAACTCCAAGGATCAGCACTGACACAAAAGAAGAAGAAGAAGAAGAAGAAGAAGAAGAAGAAGAAAAAAAAACAAAAAAAAACAATATCAACAACAATAACAACTCACCTTTGTAATGAGCACTCTGTAGGTCTCCATCATATCAATATCATCGCAGCAGCCAGCCAAGAGCTGCCACACTTCCCCTCTAAGTGCCTCAGGAATGCCACGCTTGACCAGGCCTGACACACCTTTGGGCAGCTGTACACGTGCATCCTGCCACTTGGGGAGCACCTGCAGGGAACAAGAATGAATTAGAACCGAAATATTATATGTGACCTGCTTTTTAATCTTAATGTCTATCACATGATACACCAAATGAAGTTATCAACAGGGACATGAATTACAAGACAGAGATTGCGTAAAAGAAGGATCCATTCACACTCTTTTCTTGTCGTCAGCCTTAACAAGAAATTGGATACCAGAGATTATGTACAGTGAAGATCACGTATGAACTGGGGTTTTATTTAAGTTTAACAGCAATATTAGTAAGAATTTAAGAAAGAGACAAAAAAGAAATATATGCGTAAACTACAATAGGTGATGCGGCAGCGAGAATAACGAGAGAAAAACAACAGAAAAGGCTATATGTATGTCCCACTTAAACGAGACATCAAGAATGAAACACGTACACCAAAGGAACAAGTTACTCAAAGCTCCACTACCACTAAGAAATCAGTGTCCAAACCACAAACACAGCCTTATTTTTTTTCCTATGCTATTCAACCAACTTATGATTTTGAGGAAATTCAACCTGGAAAAAGTAATGTTTAATCAAACAACCAAGGGATGAAGAACAGACTTTTAAAATACATATGTATAAATGTCTCTTTATGGAGTCGTACTTACAGCTACCAAATAAAGTCTTTTATCATATCTTCTAACAAGCATTAGAATTTGTTTGCAGTCCAAGAGAAAATCACAAAGAAAAGGGAACTGTCAGAGTTACTTACTTCTTTATCTTCTATCAGCTTCATTCAGAAAAGAAAAAGACAAAATTGAACACATTCCAAACTCCTGAGCAGAAAATATACATACTATCTTTGCATAACTTTCTCTTCATCAAGTGTCTCAATTTCTTATTTTCCTTTCATTTTGTCTTGAATATGAGTATATAGCTTTGGATATTATAAAAAAAAAAATTGAGTGAGTCCTACTTATGTGTAACTTTTTATATATAAAAAAATGCCACATCCAACACAGATTTTCCATTTTTTCCATGCTAGAATTACACTGTAAGATGCTTGAGTGGTTTCATAACAGTTAAGTAAAGCCCAAAGTGTTTATGTGTAAATGATGGAGAGGAAAATTTATATGAGATTTGACTTTGTAAACTGTGTGTAAATTTTCTCCAACTAACACCTCATATTTACGTGAAATACTAACCACATGATCAGTAAGCAAATCTCTGTCTGCATATAAGTGTTCCTTAGAACTGAAGAAGAGAACGAAAAGAAGCCCAAGGAGGCATAACCGTAAAACCTGTGAAATCCAAAACTTAAATCTAACCTGTACCTTTCATGGGATCCATAAGCCAAACACATAAAAACAAAACAGCCCTTCTAGACCTTTCTTAAAATGAAAAAAAAAAAAAAAAAAAAAAAAAAAATGAAAAAAAAAAAAAAAAACTAAGAAAAGAAAAGAAAAAAATTCTGTATTATACAAAAATGAACAAAATGGCATACCTGTCGCCACATGTCTAACTCTCCTTGAGGACAGTCCTTGGACACTTCACCTGAACCACTCAGCAAGGGCTCGTCATCATCTGCAGAGGAGAATAACCTTGTTAAAATCTCTGGCACTTCAGGAATCTTGTGGCTTAGCATTTTATGTGATGGTACATATCAGGTTAAAATTCTGTTTGTGGTAATCATTATGTGGAAGTAAATCCCTGCAACCATAATATACACGTGCTTAGAATTACCATATTCATACTTACTTAACAAAGACATAATGGATATGTGTAGAAAAAAAAGGTCAGCAACACTTGCAATAAAAGGGTAAAGGGGAGGGGGAGGGGGAGGAGGAGGAGGAGGAGGAGGAGGAGGAGGAGGAGGAGGAGGAGAAGAAGAAGAAGAAAGAAAGGAAGAAAGAAAAAAAAGAAGGCAGAGACATCACACCTGAATCCTCTTCACATCCTGGTGTTTCTATTGAGGCTATTGCATCACACCTGAATCCTCTTCACATCCTGGTGTTTCTATTGAGGCTATTGAGGGAGAAGACCAGTTGAAAGTGAGGAGAGTGTTGACGATGTTAATGACGACAGGTTCAGAGAGAGGGACATCGCTGAAGGTCTCCACCGCTCCACCTCGCCCATGTTATCGACACTCGTTACCACATATTGTTGATCCCCTTGGGGTGAGTGTTCAACCTGTACCGAGGAGTACACAATAATCAAATAACTATTTCATGTAGCCTTGCTTCTTATCAACATCCCTTAAGCATCTTAACACACAAACTTTACGACTCCCAAAAAAAGAAGGCAGAGACATCCACACTGAATCCCTTTCACATCCTGGTGTTTTATTGGAGGCTATGAGGGAGACCGACCATATTCATACTTACTGAGGAGGAGGAGGAGGAGGAGAAGAAGAAGAAAGAAAGGAAGAAAGAAAAAAAAGAAGGCAGAGACATCACACCTGAATCCTCTTCACATCCTGGTGTTTCTATTGAGGCTATTGAGGGAGAACGACCAGTTGAAAGTGAGGAGAGTGTTGACGATGTTAATGATGACAGGTTCAGAGAGAGGGACATCGCTGAAGGTCTCCACCGCTCCACCTCGCCCATGTTATCGACACTCGTTACCACATATTGTTGATCCCCTTGGGGTGAGTGTTCAACCTGTACCGAGGAGTGCACAATAATTAAATAACTATTTCATGTAGCCTTGCTTCTTATCAACATCCCTTAAGCATCTTAACACACAAAATTAGTAACTTTACGACTCTCTGTCTACATCTACCTATTCATCAATATCAATGTCTGTCTATCTGTATCTGTCTCACTATCTCCATCGACATCTGTTTCTACATCTCTATTAGTCTCTATCAGTCTTGTGATTGAATCAATCAATCAGTCAGTCATATCAGTCAGTATCTGCAATGCATCCATACACAACATAATATAAGATAAAATACAAACCTGCTTGAGTTTGAGTGAAAAGAGGTGAACAAGAGGTTTCTTGCTGAAGTACCAAAACCTCTCGTTCTGAGGATATACACGAACTTTGGTTTCTATGACGAAGCGCACAGGCTCTTGAATGCCTCCTAGGGTTTGGAAAGATAAATATGTTTTAGTTATCAAATCAGTTATCACATACACACTACAGAGAGAGAAAAATTATGTGGAAGAACTAGTTTCACACTAATACCTCATTATGTTATCAAAAAGAAAGAAAGTAAGAAAAAAAAGGTCTTTGTTAACCCTATGAATGGGTTAAGGGTACTTTCTCCCTTCGATGTTATCCAAAAAGAAAGAAAGAAAGAAAAAAGGTAATTGTGAGATCTATACACATTTGAGGCTTGAACTATCTTCCACAAATTTGAGAAGCCCCTCTGCAAATCTATCTTCCTGAAGGGGAGGGAGAAAAAAAACTTTTTTGGTGGTACACTCTATAAAATGTCACTAGTGAGAAGGGGTTATAAAAGCAAAAAATAAATCCCACAAACAAAGATATCTCTGTCATCCCAAAAAATCAAAATACAGTGTCCTCAAAAATTACACCATCTACACCAGGGCCAATATGTAATAATCTTATTTTTTTTCTTTTCTTTTGTATTTTTTTTTTTACTTTTGTTTTAGATCAAACCAAGTAAATCTTCAAATTTTGAAAATCATCTTTACTTACTCATGACTAGATCTATGGCAACTGTCATGAAGACTCTCTTGTCCCTCTGAGTCTCCTGATTAAGCTCTGTGAACACAGGGTCTGTCGGGTCCCAGTGACCGGATATGACATAACTTCTCTTGTCATTTGCATTGCTCCCCATTGATACCTGGCAAAAGACATTAAAAAAGACATTCAATGATTAAGACTTTTATTATTATGGCAACTATAAATAAATACAATTTCTTAAAATGTATGATCGCCTATAAACTTATGTTACAAACTTCTTTGCTTAGACTAATTTCATTACCATTCTTTTCCTCCTTCTACACAAGAGAAAGTAATGACAAGGCAATAAAAGTAACATAAATAATCTAATGTCACTGATGTGCCCAAAGTATTGGCTCCTATCTACATGAACTTCAACTAGAACATGACTAAACATCAGGTGTGTACGAAGACATATCATGCAAAATCTCTAATTTCAATATAAAAAAAAAGAAAAAAAAAAAAAAAAAAAAAAAAAAAAACTAATGTCAGTACAACAAGTTGAGATCTAGTATACTATACTCTTGCTTCTTTGCGCATCTGTTACAGTGTAACCTCTCTTCAACTGAGGACTAATTCAAGCTACATAGATTGTGAAGACTGGAAGAAAGTGTGCAAAAAGTGAGACCTAAAGGGACGTGGGGCATGTCTGGCCAGCGACAGGGGTGCAACGAGAACTTCTTGGGGAGAGGAAGGGAGCAACTATGCACTGGCATATGTCTTCACTAGCAACAGGCTTGTGAGTTGGGGGGACAAGGTGTGGGGATGGCGATACTATTAAGATGACCTATCTCTGATTTTTCTTTTCCTCTTTAGATCCCCTAAAATCATCATATTTATTCCTTATTATGTATTAAAATATCTATCATATTCACTGATATCTCCACTACAATTAGTAATAAAAGTAATATGTAATTGCACAATTTAATCTAGTATGAAAGACACCGGTCACCTTAAGTGCATAATGACACGTAACTAATGACAATGTATATGACAATCTATCAAAATTCTTACATTCTAATTACAATCACACTTCGGTAAAATAAAATGAATATTACAATGGGCCATGGCAACCTTTATCTACTCATTCATTTGTCTATTACTTTCAGCCTTAACAAAGTACAATCAGAAAAAATAAATAAATAAATAAATAAAATGAAGAATCCAGAGCATATCGAATCTCTGTCAC